TGTTAACACCATGCATGCTTCATTGATCAGTCATTGAGCACCAGGTGAACCATGTCATTCTCGGAAGTGACCCATTCATCATTATACGAACAAGTAAACAGTGTGCTACGGGTACATTGTTGATAGTTTTGTGATTTTTGGCATTCGTTTGTTGGCAGTTATCGAACAAAATGTGAACTGTATAAGTTAGTAGCATTCGAAGGGCTTTCGGTAACCAAATAGTAAACAGTGTTCAGAATGTGACGAAAGTGGATATTCGTTAATTCGTTATGCATGTACCTTCGAAAGAGGATGATCAGAATATACTGGTAAAAATTGCACCTACAGGAACTTAATTCGGAAGGTCTCATGAAGCTCTAGGTAGAACAAATTACTGGTGCTTTCCAAAGTTCTAATGTGGTTTTCCATATGTGATGAAATTTGGGTTTTTCCGTAGACCTGTAAGCTTCACTGAAAAATAGCATAGTTGGGCTAAATGCGTAGAAAATAATAAAGCTCTGGTTATGAGAACAATACTCGTCAGAATTTTATGTCCAGCGTGTTGTCTTCTGTAATTCGTCAATGTACAAGCTACTAAATGCGGAAGATACTTTTTATTATTGTTTGCTAAGTCTCTGTATGGTATAAACAAGCAGAACGCGGCCCACAAACTTACGAGCATCTTACGAAATGCACCGCCTAACCCAAAGAATTGACTGGGCAAACTGTTGAGTACCAATGTCCTACAAAGGATTCATTGCTGAGATCGTAACAACTCTACTTTAGACAAACAGGAAGGAAGCTCTCTAACAGAATACATGAACGCAAACTTGCAACCAAATGACACTACCACGTGTCTTAGTGGACGTGGGAGAACAAGGACAAAATTTCGACTGGAGCAGTGCTCATACATTGTGGCTCAAGTGAGAACAGGGGAAGAACGTGAATTCATGGAAAAGTGGCACTCCATTGAAAAAGCAGTTAACAAACACTTCAAAATTGACCAGATTCACGGACCGCTGTGAGCAAAAGAGCAACATGACTGCAACACACGAAGCCGTAAAACTGCAGTGAAATGATATAAAAAGGGACAGACAAACCGAAACAAAAATCGAGGAAATTAATCCAGTCTCCCGGACAAATATAGAACAAATAAATAAAAAAAACATAAAAAAATTAACTAAAATGGAAAAATCAAACTGGTAACTTGAGTGCACCCAAACCGGCCAACGTGAGAAAGACCACATCAAACTCGGAAGCGCAGACGACCTATCAGGCACGAACATATAGAAGCTAAGATTGGACCAGTCGAACCAAAAGAAACTTCCAAAATTAGAAGACGTCATCGTCACCAAACTAAATTCAGGGAAAAAGATTATAACGCAACATAAACCGGGAACTGACTATTCGAAAACAGACTTAGACACCTCAGGGAGCTATCCGACCAACCAGCGGAATATGACGTATGCAGACCACATCGCAGCCGAAATCGCTAACTGGTCAACAATATTACAAGAAAGGTATATACTAGGTGGCCAATCACATTAGTGGATATTAGACATTCTTCGAAACCGTATAAAGGAAGCTAGGTAGGGAGGAAGGACTCACTCGACTAGGCACTGACAATGCCTTTCTGATTGGGGTCAGATGGTTTTTATGCCAGATGCCAAGCTCGTCGAACAAATCAGTGGCCAACTCATTGACCCCCAGTAAACCCACCCGAGCTACCAACGGAGGTCGTTTGGGATACATTTTTATAACTTCATTCTCAGGTATACACAATCCTACTTTTAGACGAGAAAAATAAAAATAAACATAGAATCTTTCTCACCAAAATTGTTTTGGACAACTCAGACGCTGTCCCACTTGGGTTTTTCAGGGTTGGTTGCATCATTTAAGGATTATCATATGGAAACCAGTATGATATCGTCCAGTGCAAATGGTCGTATTATGTTGTAAAGGCAGCCATAATTTTACAACACCACAGACTTAGTTTATAATGCTGTTCATAAAGCATAATCGCTGGATATACTTGCCTAGCGTTCAACGAGCTCCTACTCACATGGATCACGCTAAAAGATACCTACGGACAACTTTGCTGATTTAGGTTTAAAGTCTCTGCAGCGTCCTCCATCATACTTCTAACTGACACTGAAGTTTTATTGGCATCATTTTAGCCCGATACTATGATTCATAGGTGCACACAAGATATATATTGCTCTGAAAGCCAGCGGCGCTTTTCCGAAGAACGATTTTTTTCTATTTGACGTGATAAGCTTCCCCATTATTTACCAAAGCTGGCATAAATAGCCATCATCAACTCTTTACTGTTGGGATACAATGGGACCGCTAGATCAGCCGACTGAGAAACAATACAGGCTAAGCGGCTGACAATATCTGATTCAGTCCTTTTACTGTCGCTATGTCACAAATACCAAAACTCTGCCGTGTGCGTGTGCGCATTAGCCATGTCTGTCACATCAATAGAGATTTCTTTGTTTGTGTGTACCAGTTCTATTCATGTGCTCTGTTGATATATAAGGGGTGTGGTCATTCCATTGTTTGGAGACCCATATACTGTCAGATACCAAATACACCGAACTACCAAGTCTGCCCCACCGACTTATAAGTTGTTGTATGAAACTGAAAAAGCCATACAAGAATGCAGAAGCTCATTTGGAAAGACACCAAAATGAAAAAGCTGCGTGAACTACTTTTGGAATTTGACGAATATTTTATGGTGGCGTTTTTAGCTATAATATAGAATAATCACACAAACATTTCGCTTTAAGCATGACAAGAAAGGAAAAATATTTTTAAGCACATATATACAATATAAACAGCCGAAAGACACATTGTTTCTCTTGCATCCTAGTGCTATTCCAATGGCACTGGTGTTTTTCCCTTGAGGAACGAACAAACGAATGAATTTGTGTTGCGTATACAACTGGTACTTATAGAAAGAGAATGTGATTCGTTCATCGCATGATGTGCTGTTTTCTGGAGTGCTTCCATTTGATAGCAAACGTTATGCAATCCAGAGATTTAATATTTTCTGTATCGGTTGGAGAGCGTTTCGGCAATATTTTGACTGAACGCAACAAATAATACATGCGTAAATAAAACTGCATTTTCTATTAGTCTCTACTCCAGGGTCTAGGTATTGCATACAAAGCCAACAAACTAAGCTTTGTAATATCTTGTGGGTTGATGCAGGAGGCTGAAATACAAATAAAAAATGTATATTTTCCTAAGTTGATCACGATTGGACTGTGGGCTACGCCAGTCCACTTAAATGTGCTTTGAACCGTGATCTCAATAGAGTAACAGCACAGACAGGTTAACATATTCATACGATGTTGTCTAGCACCCCGGCCTAATGGTACGCCTATAACTATGTGCATGTTCAGTCAGTATCACAATACCTGATTCAGCGCAAACAATATGAAACACATGCCGACCCATTTTCCGAATGTCTGTATTGATTGAGAATTTAGACAAATGATAGACCACCACTAAATCGATTTGTCGTGGTGCTTCATAAATACATCACACTGAGAAGCCAATCTTAACGAAGGACGCTGCTTTCACTTACGGAGGGAAATTGTCATCCTTCTTCAGTCTTCGAAACACAGTATTCTTTTCAACGTGCAAACCCCTAGGCGACCAAACATGTGCTAGTCACTTCAGTAAGGCAATCTGGTATGCTAGAAATGTAAGATCATCGGGATAGCGAATTTTAGAGATTCTAGTTGCAATCCTTTGACGACTTGCATTTGCTTGTGTAGGTCAGACACTAAGATGCAAATAGTAGCTACTCAACTACTCTCCTGACTGTTCTTTTGGTAACTTGGGCTCTCTTACTTAAAGGAACGGACAGATTAGAATCACAGAGGGACTTCATGGGATACACGACTGAAAAAGTAAGTTATGCCGATGTGTTCACACTAACGAAATTACAATCTCGCGCCCATGACCTGGCAGTTTCGAGTCCGTACTCAAAAGTGTCGTACACGGACGACATAAAGTTAACCACAGTGGTCACTTATATCAAGATTTTCTCTTTTGTTAATTCCCCTCTATCTCCTGTTGAAATCTTATAGCCCTTAGAGCTGGTGATACACCTTGAAATGTTGGTGAAAAAAGGGAAACTCAGTGAGCCTGTGTGGACTACGTTTGTCTGGTATGCAAACGATACTCCGGTGCTACTGGCAAATTAACCCAAATGGAGACATTTTAAAAACAGGTCTGTGTGTTTTTGGCGCCCCAACACCGATAAGTGCAAAAAATGTCAAAGTTGGTGCAGTTTTGGGCCCGAACGCCTAGTTGTTGCTCACTGTATACACAAGCAGGAGTAAGGGCAAGAGAGTCGGTACCAATTCTCATCGTGTATTTCAAATGAAAAAGAAGCGCAGCTACCGAAAGTCAGTAGAAACAAACTACTTACTGTTAACAAACCAAAATCTTGGTCAGTACAACCATAAAAGTTTTGATCATCTGCATACGTGTATGGAGGCTTGCTGCAAAATTTTCGTGAGGTTTCTGTGGGGATAAGAGCTGCTAGCAACTATTGTTATCAGAAAATCTGATGCCATGTTTATGCGTATTCGAGTTTCAGTAATTCAAACTCGCATGCCGCATTCACAAATGTTTATCCAGCAAGTGCAGCTAAAGCAGCTTTTCAAGGTTTAACTGACCCAAAATCTCAATTCTGTCAATGCCTATACAAGTTACTTTTGTAATAACATTTGAAGAACACTGAAAGAAACGCTCGTAATGGGGCACAGTCCAGGTTTGGTTCGCGTTTATAACTACCATGTTAACTATCATGGAAAGCAAGTTCGGACACAACGGGCACCAGTCTGATGCAAAAAGATGTGGGTTAAAGTGATAAGCACAATATTCCTACGACGTCAATGGCTGTTGAGTACTGATACTGCAAAGGTCAACTTCGCTAAATTGACTGGCCGTATGGTCACCCTGACGATTCAACAAACAACCTCCTTTTTACTTTCCTAAAGAATCAAAGAAAGGCTTGTGTTGGACAGCGGCCAAAGGATCCACGCGAGCAACCTACATCAATTTAGCCGCCAATATGATCAACCAATAAACCAGAGAGGGAAAAGCGAATCCTGGGAAACATCTGAAGATTTAGTTTGGCGGGATAGTTAAGTTGCATCTGTCTTATCATCACAAGGTGGCAAGCAACAGATATCACTTCGTTGATATTATTTTCAATAATGAGCGATCCCAATTAACCAGGGGTCGGGTTCTCCACATATCTGCATAAGCTATACAAATGTTCTTTGAAGATTGAATTGCGACCCCCTATGACCATAGCAATATAGTACATTTCATGGTCATTTCAAAACAATTTGTATCGGTGGAAGTTCCTGTAATATATATCTTTGAACGGATTTCCTTCTAGCAATTCCAGCTTGACAAATTGAATTATTGCCCCAAATCAGGTTGATAAATGCCGAAAACTAATCACACATTATTATAGACATGAAAAAATGAATACGAATGCAACCAGATACGAACCAACGGTGAAACTGTTGGTCTAGTTGATGCGACCGCGAAGTCAGGTGTTGGCCATTCAGGGTTATCCCATGTTGATCCATAAATTGCTTGACATAATTTGAATTATTGCCCTAAATCAGGTTGGTAAATGCCGAAAACTAATCACATATTGTTATAGACATGAAAAAATGAATACGAATACAACCAGATACGAACCAACGGTGAAACTGCTGGTCTAGTTGATGCGGCCGCGAAGTCAGGTGTAGGCCGTTCAGGGTTATCCCATGTTGATCCATAAATCATGGACCTCGCGTGCAACAAACCGCACTGGTTTGGTCATCAGTAATGGCTTTCGTGTGATTCAAATTTTTCCAGTCCTACAAACTCGACAACTGGAATTAAAAATAATCACATGGAAAATATCAAAATGCTATAAAATGTTTTATTACCTAAAAACAGTGACTCATCATGTGTAACAGGATTGCAAACTTGCAATGAAGAGGCGAGGGACTTGCTTCCTTGTGAGTTAGAATTCGGTTTGTGTCCTACCACCGCATCATTCAGACAGATCGGAGTACCTGTACCGGAGGTATATTATCCATAAATTCAGCAAGGACAAAATTTTTTGGCGTTATTTGTATGCATGCGTTGAATGTTCTAGAAAGTGATGGCTGCTCAGTTTCACATTAATCAGTTATAAGGCGTATTCCTGAGAGTATGTCAAACGAATTGTTCGACAAACCAGTGAAATTAATTATCATAGCACAAGCACTTGGTATTCAGGACACAATGTCTACAGGTTATTTTGAACGTGAAAACAGATTACCATCCATTTCATCACACTGGTTCCCACAAAACTTTTAAGACAGGAGTTATGTTTCCCATCTTTGGTTTGCTTTAATCGTGCAGTTTAATGCCCCATTCATGAACAAGGCCTTGCTTTCCTCTATCATTTATACTAAGTGACACTGCGACAAACTTTTCTTTTAACTCCCGATATTTAAGTCGCTTTTTCCCCTCCAGCCCCCTCTAAATTGCCAAATACCTAAATGTGATACTTTTTAAAATTTCCTTCTTGGAATGGTGATTCTATCAAAAATGTCCTATTCAAAGCTAGCACTTAAATTTTCGGTGAACTTTGACAGATCTTGTTTTGAACTGGAATTTCAAGTATCTGTCTTAGCTGGTTGCAAGATTGTGAATGTGCACGAAGCGACCTCATAGACGCATCAAAGAGCTTTGAGGAGCAGGTTAAGAACGGGCCTTTAATAGACGTAATAATCTCTGTTTGACTATATGGACCCTTGCTTTGAATCCCTTCGCCCAGAGAACTTGGATTGTCATTCACTTCTTCGTCACACCCAACGCAAATCTCAAGAGTCGAGTGCGTTCGTCGACAGATAGTTTGGTGTGTTTCCAAACATTTTCGCTCATCGTCTGTATGCATATAAAGCGAGGTGCAAGGAATGAACATATCCGGTCTGAATATACTTCTACCGGCGCGCTTTTGAAGCATCTGATGTGCGGAACTCTCGATGCGTTTCCATGCTCAGAGATTCAATGTACCTAGCGGGGTGAATAATACATAACAGTTGTTCAAGCAATACCAGGGGGCATAAGTCCATTTGATTGAAGGAATTCCCTCGCGTGTGAAGAAAATTGTTTTCAGGTTTGCTTCAGGCCAAACTGCACGTCAAGATTTCCAAAGTGCCATGAAAAAACAGCAGTTTTCTTCACAGAAAGGTACTTAGTCCGGTGAGTAGACCTCCCAACATAGGTTATTAAATGATAAAATAAAACTGATTTCTCCTCATGCATGAGTATCGCACTATATCAATTAAAACACCCATCTTCGCTATTCACTCATTCAACGCCCGCATTTAATGATTTAGAGGAATAAAGGGTTTTCAGGAATTTTCGTGCAGTTTAGTGCTCCGTCGTCTCTCTAGTCTCATCTCTTTAGTTTCCTAGTCACTTTCTCAGGACAACTCGTAAACACTCACGTAAACTCATTAAACCGTCAGTGTCAGTGAGCTCATGGTCAGCGGGGTCACTTTTCTACTGCAGTAAGCTTGCTCAAGGCTTTCTCAGGATAACTCATAACACTCACGCAAACTCATTAAACCGTCAGTGCCAGTGAGCTCATGGTCAGCGGGGGCACTTTTCTACTGCAGTAAGCTTGCTCAAGTCGGAATGATTACCAGAAACTTGGCCGGGTTTGGAATTCCCATTTCTCGTCACTTTCTTGGTAAAAGCCGAAAGACTGAATATATGACAACACTGCTGTAGTAAAGCATGGACTATTGATGCTATACTCAACACAGATACAAATTTTCATCTTGTGTTCAACTGACTGCATTTGACCCCGGGGTCTTTTGTCGCCAACTGTAGAGTTTAAAAAGTATGCAAATAATAGGTAAACACTTTACTCAATTCCGGATAAACGTCGAGAATTATTCTCACCAGACTGGAATGGTCTATTTTGTTTTTAGTGATAGCATTCACGAGTGTGAAAGCAACCTTCATTTTATACGGCTGCATCCCGTTTCACCGTTTCCTTATTGAGAAACCCCTCCAAATTATTGTCCTCATTTTTGCGTAACGAATTACGTTCATAACTACAACTGTGGCACATTTTTACACGTTTGTCAAAACTTAAAAGTCCATTTTTCGCATAAATCATCATTTAGCCACGTTACAATGCAAACTACAGATCAAAATGAGGTAACACCCTAACATATTTGGAATTCTTCCAGTTTTCAACGTCTACATCTCGACGTACAATTGCGTAACCGCTTGTTTCACGAGTGTGAAAGCAACCTTCATTTTATACGGCTGCATCCCGTTTCACCGTTTCCTTATTGAGGAACCCCTCCAAATCTCGACGTACAATTGCGTAACCGCTTGTGTTTAGTAGAATGCAGTGACAGAGTAACGATCGTCCAATGGCATGCAAAGCCGAACCCCCCATGCACTGCACAACCGAATACGCCTTCCAACTAAGCAGCACAGCAGCTAACGTACGTTCTCATACTCACTAGTTTGAAAAAGTGTACCATCCTTAACCAACGGAGGACTGGACGATCTCTACTTGGTGGCCATCGCGTATGGTCCTTCTAGTCAGCGTCAATTAACAATCAGATATCAAATGTGTGGAAGCAACATGGTCACAATGTTCTCTGATAGATTAGGTAAATGGATAATTTGACTGGAAAGTGCTCAATGGAACTTGAATGCTCATTCATACAAACCACAAAAGTTGGTTGCCTTTAAGTGCACTGAGATCAACATACGCTTCATAACATTAACTGGAGCACTCGTGAAAAACGTAACGAAAATGCGGTTGAGTGTTCTTGGAAAACAAAGTAAATTCGGTTGCCTTAACTGAAGGCGACTTATGCCTAAGGCCGAAACCTGTTGTTCAAAATTTCAGCGCTGTTGTGGATCCTAGCGTCATTTAGCTAACGAAATCCTGATGAAGACCGATTCTGTTAATTTCTTGTTCGATGCTGGGTACTATAACATCACACGCAAGTGATTGGTCAGCAAAGCGAACAAACCGGTCCCAGACAGGATATAATACCACCTGCAATCATTTTTTAATCCACGTAAAGCTACTGGTTTTTGACCGTCTTTTGTAGTCTTCTATAGTGGACTAAACAACTGAAAGATGGACTTTCAATTGAAACTTTAGAACCTATCAACGATGGCATGTTGTGGGCTGTCGGAGAGTTTTCAGCAACCTTGTGAGTAGTTTCCTTTATGAAAATATACTGCGATATCTCGAATATCGTGCCAATGAAACATAAGGCGGCTTGTGTGAAGCACTTTCGGTTGTAGAATATCATATTAGAGAGATTCAGCTAAGTCTCTCGTGAAAACCAAATTGATTTGCAAATGAGTGTATTTCTCTAACACTATCGTTATTTCCTATCAGGGGTTTGAACCTATGCACCTCCAGAAAAAGCTCCCAAATCTCTTCAGATTAAAGTCACAATTTTAATGCATGCCTGAGTGTTTGCCAAATAATTTTTAAAAATTCCGGGACCAAAAACCAATGCAAGCGAATTAGCGTATCACTAACGATTACGTTCTTTATTTTCAGTCAGACAATTAAATTAATAAGAGGATAAATTTTTTGTACATTGCTGTAATGATAACTGGAGATTTAGTTGAACCTATTTTTAGGATGTTTCATCAAATGAGTGTGTTGCGTAAAGGCTGCTATTGTTTCATTTTGCACAGTATATTTGGCAACACAATGAGCTATCCTAGGGTGACACAGTACTCATGGGCTTGCTGGAAACTCTCCAGCAGTCCGCTACTAGCTCCTTTCTTGATACTCATCATATGGGCGCTTTTCACGATATGCAACCGTTCTGTTCTAATTGAAACTGGGCTCATTTTTCTTGACTGTGTACAGCTGTTGTCTTCGGGTGGATGGAAACTCGAAGGTTAGGCTAAACTGATGAACCAAAAAAACGAAACCGTTAGGGGCGTGTTAATGCGTTTCTAGCACCCATGCTTGTAGTGTGTCATATCAAATAACCACTAATGTATTTACTAAATCCAACACAACTTAGACCCGTAAAACGATAGCAACCTGTGGATGACGGTTTTAGTCGGAGATGCAGATAGACAATCTTGAGATGCTTTTATCGCACGTATTCAAATGGAAAATTTAAAGAACGTCAGTTTCGTATAGACTATGGTTCTGCACCTGCCGCCACTTCTCCGAAACTGGTCGCTGCGTGATCAAGTGATTTCGTTTTGTGTTACCGGTCTAATGACTTCCATTTCTGCCCGTAAGAAGACAATACTTCTATCTAAGTCACCAAAGATATTTATTTAAATGCATATCAGCAAAAGAGCCTCAGAAAATAAGGCTAACCGACATCCTCCATTAACTGAATAGGCTAATGGAAACAGACTAGTCAGCGTATGAGATCTTCACTCATATGGCGCTAAAATAAATGTGATCGTCACAGGTTCCCGTTACATTTGGAACTACACACTCTGTGCAAATAGCGCTGTTATGTAAAATGAGTAGAGGTACGACACATATTCACTATGCAATATGCAAGCTAATATAACCATAATTACGCCGTATGTAACAGCACAAAACTATAAGAATGAAACTCCTCTATCTGTTCAATTTAAATTTATATTGAGGCAGAACCCATCCATCATGCTTTAAGCTGACGCGTCTTTTCACTAGCCCACCAGATTTTGAGGCTGTAAGTTGGTCAGAATCGATCAACTATTCACCGCCAGCTCAAAAATGTGCACCGGACAAAGCAAAACAGACTAGTTTAGTTACCATTTACTGAGAGCGAAATTATTTCACTGTCACGCAATTTTTTCTTCACACTCCGGGTCCGACAACCTTGAAGTAGAAGCCTCCTCCAGAGACTGAGTATTCTAAATTAATTCACTATTCGTCGTAACTAATACTGACTGAACGGCTAACTGTCATGCACCGACCCCAGTTGGTTTTCAGTATTTTTTTCCGCGCAACTGTCTAACTCCCAAACCACTGCGTAAACAAAACTTCAAAAGTTCACCATCATAAGCAGAAAATTATCGTTTCAAAATTAATCCCACACTACGGTGTTTAGATATATCCAGTAAATACACTTAAGTTTGTGCATAAATTATATTCATTTGAGCGTATTCTCTTCGGTGATTCTCTACAATGATTAGAACTACAGATTAGAACTACAGCTTCCAGAAATTGCTGTCAGCCATGCTGATGATCAGGTACAAAAACAAACCGATAGTCAACGTCTTAATCTGTTTCATATATAGATTGCAGGAGCAAATAATCATATACAAGAAGAATTTTGGCGAGTATCACGAATATCCACTGTGTTTCCCATGTTCTACCTACTTTCTCAGAGTGCCTGTTTGGTCATTCTAACATGGCATTAAAATGTGGCAAAGTTCCTAAGGTGTTTTATTCTTCCTTAATAGGCAGTAAATGAATAAATAATAGCCAGAAAAGGTAATTTCAGAAAGAAGGTCCATTAGAAAGATCAGATTGATTTTACATTAAAAGCACAAGGTGAAAACTCTATACCATAAAAGACGTGCTGAGTGAAAATTTGTGCACTTCTGTCCACCACATGTAATGAGTGCCAGAATGACGATACCGGTTGAATTTGAGGGAAAGAATAATATTTCCTACTTCGCTATGATCTTGCTTCATCTGTTATCTTTCGTTTTCGGCGAGTTGAATTTCGTGTTTGGGCAAACACTTGGAAGAATCGAAGTTCACAACTAGGAGGGAGTGCTTTCAGTGTACGGTATCTGGTCTGCAGCAGAACAATTTTTAAACGTCGCTTTCTTATCCAAGCGTACAGCACACTAAACATGGTCAGTCGTTCCGCCTGGCGCTGAATCATCCACCTCGTTCGCGTTTTCCCAGGCATTACAAGCCCGTTTTGTGACAATCTAAATTTCACAAACAAAGATGTAAGTTGAAGGTTTTCTTCCGGAAAAAGCTTGCTTACCTTGTTCATATTGTTGTCACGTCGACGATTTTACAACCAAACGGTTTCCGCTTCATG